CCGTGGTGGGGCCGCAGGGTTCTGCTGCGATGGCCCGGGCGGCGCAGGACGCTGCTGAGGGGCTGAAGCACCTGCTGGATGGCAGCACTCTCCAGGCGCTGCTTCAGGCGGCGTCCCTCCCTAAGTGTGACCCACCGTGGAGGTTGTTGGTGTCAGGGGACGTGTGAGCTCTGGAGATGAGCAGCTGCGTATGACGGTCTAGGCCAGCTCTGGAAGGCGCTAACCTAGGTTTACACGCGGCTACAAAGCGATACATTTGTGCTTGCTGTCAAGCTCAGAAATTTTTACTTCTTCCCATTAGCTACATTTCAGGGACAGCTCAAGTTTAAGAGAGTATAAAAGCACAGAACTGACAATGTTTTATTTACTTTTTCTCCTCCCAGTTTGAAGAGAAGTACATAAAGACTCCAGAAGATTATCGAAAGTTAAAAAATGGTAAGTTCCAGGGTCTGAATGTCTCTGATGAGGAATTCCAGTGTAACATTTTAGCTTGTACTCGCCAGCTGTCAGTCACAGAGGCGTGCTGCCGCTGCTCACCGCTTAAAGGCCGAGGGGTTTGGTTTGACTCGCAGTTGTGAGGACATAGGCCAAGGCTGCCTTGCTCCACGGCGCAATCTTCGAGGTAGAGGAGTGCCGCAGAGCCGAGATCCCTAGTTGCGGTCAGGAAGGAGATTAGCGTGTTATGGCTTGCGTCTAGCCGTCTACCCCCAGGTCTGTGCAGTCATGGGGCTGCTTCTGGAGTCTGTGACTAATTCTCGCTCCAGTGCTGGGATGATGGGTGTGCATGTCACACCCACCCTGGGGCAGACATTCTGCATGTAAGTGTAAGGAAGGGAGAGAGGCTTGCGAGCTGCTGCAGTCACTGCTTCTTGTTCTGCTTTTGCTATTTTTCCACGACCATGAATGGCTGCCCTCGGCCACGTGCCTCGCTCCCTTGGAGTCAACCGAGTATGGACTGAAACCTCCACTAACTGTGAGCGAAATAAGCCAAACGTTCCTTTATTCTGGGTGTCAGGTATGGTGTCCCAGCCTGGAGAGAAGAGTAACTGAGCACAGCTGGGCAGCGCAGCGGTGGGCGGTCGAGGCGCAGCACGTTGCCCCCAAGACCTTGCCTCCACCCTCTGTCTCCACACGCCGAGGGTCATGTTCTGCTGGGCTCCTAGGACTTTCTTAATGCAATGATGTAGACATATCAGGACCAATGGCTACATTTCTCCCTTGAGAACATTTTACCCCAATTTTAATTTACAAGTAAAGATAATAGCAGTTCACAATTCCACCTAACAAAACACAAGTGGTACACTTCCAACTTAAAAGACAACAATCCTTTCTCAAAGTCTGAAAAGTTCTAGTATTTTCAAAAGTCTGGGTCAGTCTTTTCTGAGACTTGTGAAAAACTATGAGCTATACAAATAAACAAGCTACACTACTGCAAAGCAAATTGATACAAGGGAAAAATTCTTTTCTACAAAGGAGGAACAGGAAGAAGTTGAAATCAGATGAAGGATTGAAAACTACCAAAGAAAACGTTTAGTCTGTAGTCCTGTACCAGGCACGTGAGGCACAGAGTAACACAATGCGGGTTCGGTGGGACTTAGACGGCCTCAGCCCTTTGGGTTGCTGGAAGCACATGTGGCCTGTCACCTTTTATAATATTGGGTTTTTTTGTTTGTTTGTTTGTTTTGTTTTTTCTTTTTTTTTGGCAGAACCAGGGATTGAACTCAGGCCCTTGTGCTTACCAGGGAAGCACTTATTCCATTGAGCCATCTCCCCGGCCCCTTTTTAAATATTCTAAGGCTGCCTTAGCCAACATTTTGAATTATTTTTAACTCTTTCCCCAGGGCTGGGGAGATAGCTCAGTGGAATGAGTGCTTGCCTGGCAAACACAAGGTCCTAAGTTGGATTCTTTGTACCATAAAAAAGAACTCCTTCCCCACACTTGTTCCAAAGCTGCTCAGTGCTGCAGCACAGGTTCAGCAGCTACCCCACGTCCCTCGGGTCAGTGTTCTGTGCTAGCTAGCCCACCACTGAGACGCATCACCCCCACCTGCAATGTAAAGGGACATAGGTTTCGTGTGGCCGGTGGAGTCGAGGACTCCGACCACGGCTGGATGGCTGCACCACGACACCCAGGGCCTTGCTCGACTAGTACTGCAGGCACATCGTAGACCAGTGAACTCGACATCAGGCAGGCAATGCCAACACACTGGAAGGATTGCAGAGGAGACGGTGCAGAGAGAAGAAGTGGTAACATGCGAGGGACATCGGTTTTGAAGGAAGTCTGCAAACGCTCTCAGTTAGAAAAAGGACTGGACTCTGAGTACCACAGGACTCGCTCCAGGCCCTCTATACGCTGTTTCTTTCTTTACTGTGAGGAGACTACAGTGAGCTCACGCTCACACACTGTCCTCCTACTGGAGTGCACACAGAGCATGCCTTAGATGGCAGCAGGAGAATATACGGGGCCGTTGTCTGTCTTCACTGACCGCAAGCAAGAAGTAAATAGCCCTGTGCCACTACAGGCTCACGAGAATACAGGCTGAGGTCTCGAAGCCGACACAGAACCACAGAACCTGCGGTAAGGTCCTGAGTGTCATGAGACTTACTTTGGGAATTTACACTTAAAGTGGCCTCTGGGTGTCAGCCTTGATTCATCTGGCAGTACCTTCCTAAAGTCTCATGAAGATAAGTAACACACAAAAACTGACAGGATATAGTATACGTACACGTACGGGAAATAGAAGGTGAATGAATAGGCAAGGTTGGGTACGGTAGTGCATGCCTGCAGTCCCAGCACGCAGGAGGCTGAGGCAGGAGGAGAACCATGAGGTTGAGGCCAGCCTGCGTTACGTAGTGAGCTCAAGGTCAGCCTGAACAACACAGTCAGATCCTTTTTTTTTTTTTTTTTTGACTTCTTCACTCAGAAGTTTATTAGACTGTCAACTCTGTCTTTTTCATTGTCACATCCATCCATGGTTCTATATCTATAATAAGAAAATTAGGATAGTTGAGTGGAAATATAGATCCTTGGCAGGATCAAACCTATTATTCAATTTCAAAAACTCTGACAGGTGACGTTTTTAGCCTGTCGCTACTTAAAGGCATTATTTTGGATATGGTACTGCTTCATAACTGGCTTGCAAAGTTCAAGGAGGAGCTATAAATTGCATTAAAGGAGAAGAAATTGAGATATAAGGGAGGAGCTTTTGCTCTTGAATATGGTAAGTGGGGAAACCAGTTCTCAGTAGAAAGCAAAGGTGGCAGCACAGTAATATCTTGTATCAAGAAAGGAAAAAAAATGAGAGGGCTACAAATTGCCAGTCACATTAGTAAATGAAAGATGACAAGAAATTAAGAAATTCTTTTTTACTTGTCAGGTACCAAGGAATACTTTTTTCTTTTCTTAATTCCAAGATAATTTTCTCATACTGAAATAGTATATATTCTATTTCACTGATGTCTTCTTCCTTATTTCCAATAGCGGGGCTCTTGATGTACCAGCAAGTACCCATGGTGGAGATGGATGGGATGACAATGGTGCAGACCAATGCCATTCTCAACTACATCGCCACCAAGTACAATCTCTACGGAAAGGACACGAAGGAGAGACTCCTGTACGGTACATTTCCTGTGCTTCCATGGGAAAATGACACAGGGAGGGCTCAGGTCATAGCCTCAGTCGGCGGGCCCAGAGCAGGTGTGTCAGGACTAGCACCAAAGCGGGCCTGGATGCTTAGAGTGAGGTGACTGGGAAGGATACAGGAGGAGACTGCTGGGTCTTGTAGGATGATGGGAGAGAAAAGGTGTAGGTTTGGAAGCCCGTGAGTCCATCAGAACACGACGTCTTCCAACACAGCAGAGGGGGAGAGCTTTCAAACACTGAAAGCTGTAAATACTAGAAGGCGAAGCACGCAATCAGGGGATGGTGCAGTCATGATCTCAGACCTCAGGGCAGCGTAAACAATGTCAGAGGATCTCTTGGAACAAGTGACAAAGTGTGTGAGGCTGAGGAAGAGGATTCCTGGGATTCAGAGATCTAAAGGAGCTGATTACAAAATTCCCGTCATGATGACCTGCACCTAGCTTACCAGCTAGCCCTATGCACGGTCACCTGGGTGAGTGTTAGTGGCAGCTGGAGCCCGTGATACAAGGGCCACCTGAAGCTTTCATATGGGAGCGCACAGCCAGGCTGAAGCCAAGGGCAGGGCACTCTGAGCACACCAAGGACGGGGCACTCTGAGTTCACTTCCTGTCACGATGGAGCTGCTGGAGTGAACGTAAGTCCTGCGCAGAACTGTTGGCAGTGCCTCACACATTCTCTGCAATGATTTATACCCTCATGAATGCACAGACTTGTGTACTTGTTTAGAAATAGTCTTAGCAGTTTTCTTCATAATTTTTCAAAGTGGAAGCATCCCCAAGATCCACACTACAGAAACAATAAGCACAGGATGAAGAAAGGAGCACAACGTGCAGGGGCACAGCAGGGTGGTGCAAAGAGCAGACGTGGTGGCGCTGGTGACCAGGATGCACACTGAATACTGTGCTTCACAGGGAGGCAGCGAGACCCTACGGACTCCTTTGTTCTTTGATGTTGCATGTAGTGTTCATGCCATGAAAATCCACAGACATAGCAGGTGCATTGTTGGCTTCAGGGGAGTTCCAGGAGATGGGCAGTGACTTCCGGAAGCACAGAACTTTGTTTGCTGGAGGTGGGGTAGCAAAATATTCTGGACAGTGAATGCTAGTGCTTGCAGCATTGTGCACTTAACACTAAGAACACGAAACAGTGAAAATTTTAGTTCTGCACCAATTAGGGCTATGATCATGTGAAAATACAACTGTTAAATAAATTTCAAACAGTGATTGAAAGTCCAGCTTGAAAAACCAAATAACAGGTGTCCACGACACACATTAGTTTCAACACATTTTAAAAAGGTACAAAAAAGGGGGGCTAGATGAGCGCTTTCGGTGATAGCGCGCAGCCCGCGGTGGCACACTCGCCAGTGGCTCAGCGCCACTGGGCTCGATTAAGCAGAGTCCTGCGCAGCGGAAACAAGGCCAGAGTCGCAAGTGGCGCGTGGACAAGGTTGTGCGATGTGCTGCGTGGGAAAGCGCTGGGGACCTTGTCACACTGGACACAGCCACGGGCCTGCACTGCGTAAGCAAGAGGAGAGACTTGGGTCTGCGCCTGCAAGGCGCTGCCGGGAGCTCCGCCCCGAGCCTCTGCTCGAGGTGCTGGGGTGCGCGGAGGTGTGCGCAGAGCCGCCGCGCAGAGGAGGCAGGTCCAGGCTGTAGCGTCAGCGTTCTAGGTGGTGATTCCACCGGCGCCTGCCTGGTGATGACTCTGGGCCCAGCACCAGGCCTCTCTGTACTTGTGTTTGGTCATGGGTGTAGAAAAATTTTAGCCATTATCTATTTATCTCATAGATTGTTGTAAGATATGATAATAAAATTTAAAAGTTATAGCACAGTAAACAATAATATATAAAAACTATCCACTGCTGGTGAACTACTTTGTTATCATCGGACACTCTTGTTTATTTAGGATTTAAACAGTAAAGTCTAAGATAGGAAAACGTGACTGTTGCATGCCCTGTCTTTCAGGATTGATATGTATACAGAAGGAATGGTAGATTTCTATGAACTTTTCATACAATTGCTGATAGCTGCTCCAGCGGAGAAAGATGCTAAGGTGGCCTTGCTCAAAGACAAAACAAACAATCGCTACTTACCTGCCTTCGAAAAAGTAAGTGAGGCTGCTTCAAGTTTTGGGACTCTGAGTTCAGAGGTCAGGAGGGCACAGTGCCAGGGCACTCCAAGAGCCTTTGGAAAACTCCAGAAGAGCCCTGAGGTCCCAGTAATTACGTAATGGTCAACTGGAAAGACACACCGTAGGGTGACACTGAAGTATAACCTTTAAGTCAAAGTTCAATTCATTACACATAATTTAGAATTTAGTATTCAACAAAAGTTCATGGTCTTAAGAGAACTGGGAGCGAGAAAGCATCTGAGCCCCACTCAAGGTTATGTGGACCCCAGAGAACGCCCTGCACTTCCATTCCAGAGCAGCATCACCAAGTATTCTGGCCCCATGTGCAGGGAGACATATGTCTTTAACAAGTCTATTGATTCAGGGATGGAAGGAGGAGACATTAAAGGATGATAAAAATAATCTAGAAGATTGAAGGACCAGGCTCTTAAGAACTGAGGTAGGGCCAGGGAGGTAGCTGAGCAGCGTAAGAATCGGCCTGGCAAGCACAAGGTTCTGAGTTGAATCACCAGCACCAAAATAACTAGCGATGAAAGGACATGATAAGAGGAAGTGAAGCTCCATCATTGCGGATGTAGTCCCCATCTTCAGGCTTTCTGGGAAGGTAAAGGAAGAGTTTTTCAGGAGGAAAACCATGTAAAGTTAAGCTCAATAGAAATAAAGAACCAAAAGTGACTGTCCGATGTGCAGGACCACTTGGCGACTCTCCTTGGAGGAGGAGCAGCTGTCTCGCTTTGGCCTGAGCCTAACCCAATTTCCATGTACAGAGGTGGTTAGGAGCTTCCCTCGTCTCTTCAACTGGCCATAAGCAGTGCATGTTGGTCCAGTTGAGGTGCTCACTTGTCGTCCATGAAGCAAAGATGACAGGCAGTCTTTCCCCACCCTCCCTGCTTCTCTTATATTTGAGATACAATGAAGAGCCAGTGCTCCATGCTGTAGGCTGGGAGGGATCCTCAGGATAAGAGACTACAGCTCCCAAGGGCTAAATCATTACACAACAGAGCCGGGGCACTGGCCCCAAAGCATTTGAGGCTTTCCCAGTTGTACTCTGCAGATCGCTGTTTTGTCCACAGGTGGCAGGGGCGATTCTTTCTGCTCCCTAGCCCAGTGCCCGGCATGCGTGTCCTTCCCACCACTCTCACAGTCAAGCATCCTCAAGTCACTTCTTTTCTCAGGAATGAATAAAACCTGGCTTTGGCCTGGGTTGAGGCCTTTGTTTTGATTAGCCATAGTCTTAGCCGGACGTAGGACACCTTGGCTCCCCGTAACTACAAACGTGCCTTAGTGTCTTTTCTCTCCCCACGGTTGGCACTGAATTAACTCAGTACAATTCCAATAATCTCCCGTGGGATTACAGATATTAACTTCCTGAGCCATGCTGAGGACCCCGAAGGGCTCTCTCTAATAAGAGATGCAGACATACAAATGTACCACAGAACTAAGCTATCAACACTCATTACATAGAGCACAGTATTACTCATTCCTTCATTCAATAAGTTGATTCATTACTGGCTTTGTCCAATGAAAAGAAAGGTAATCTTAAAAGTAATAAAATCCTCAAATGCACCGTACAAACCGCATCTTGCTGGCCGCCTCGGCTGCATCACACGGTGACAGATTCTCCAGCTATAGGTTGAATCAGGTACTACGAAATCGAAGCACTTCATGCAAAAAAATGAACACTACATATACTAAGACATTTGAAGTTGTGTTCTGTCCTTATATGAAGTAACTGTTCAGAAATATATTGCAGGGAAGTTATCATGTAGACGATGCTGTCATGTGTTTTTCCTTTTATTCCCTATAATATCATATACTGCTCAAATACTTTCAGAAGCACTCACGTATTTTCATACGCATTAGTACATAAACTTATAGAGTGATCTGAGCTCAAATAAACACAATAGTGGATGGATGCGTAGCCACAAGCCACGTAACAGGTACATCGTGATTCTCCGTCTCCATGGCTTCCTCCAGTGCCACCTAGGACTTTGCACACACTGTGAAGTAAGCTGCAGGGGTCAGTTCTGCTTATCCCCGAGAGCTCCTCACAGGGTCCGCACACTACAGTAAAGAAGGAGATGGCGCAGAGGAGAAAATGAGTTCCAGTTCTCGCAGGGTCCTCTCAGATCCCAGAGAGATCACCAGGAAGCAAGGAGAGCAGAGGAGGGAGAAAGGACGG